ATGGGTGCCGATTTTATACCTCCGCGATAGACTTACCTCCACGTGGTGCACCCTGAACAACGTATCTTCGTACGCCAAAAAAGTCTATCACTCAGCATTCGATTTTGACTACGTCTGAATATATGTATCGACAATTAAATTTTGTCCCATGAAAGCCTCTACATCCCCAACCACCCCCTTCCCCTCCCATCCCCCCAGCCCTGTCTTTATCTTTTCTATCCCATACTGACATTTGTCTTCATTCCCATTCCTCTCTAAGAAACTTAAAAGAGTTTGCCGCTCTTTAGACCTATTTTGATGTACATCAGCAGACTTGATTACCTTTAATTTTGAGTCTTAATAACAATTTTTGTAATTAATATCCTGACAAAGCAACTTTGTACGTTCAACAGTACCATATACGTGGGTTTAAAATCTCGCAGTGGTATTGTCACTTATCCTGGCTCTTTGCATTTGCCTTAAATAAGGCGCTTTTTCGCAAGAAGCCTACAAGTCTATTGCTTCGACTACCCACACGTATCCTCTAATCACAAAACAGCATTCCTACTTTCAATTGTTAGTAGTTATCAATAGCCGAAATGACAATTTGTATAAGCTTAGTAATGGCGTGCAAATTAACCACCCATCGGCGAAGATCCAACTGAAATTAATGATCTAGGCTTATAATAATATAACAGTTAGAAAGTTAACTTAATAAAGATTAATTGTAGAGGCACTACACATATCTGGTCAGTAGCACATCGCAGTAAATTGTCACGGGCGGACAGACTACAAGTTGCGGAAATCCCTATTTTACTTATCTGAAGCCTCTAGCTACCGCCCGCCGTTGAAAGACCCCCTTCTATAAGTAGCCTGAGATATCAAAGTACCGTATAAAAATAGAAATTTACAGTCCGCATCCCATTAGCTTTTATATCCCTCGAATAGGGAATAATATCTCAGAACGCGCACTTAATCAGCGTTTATGAAGGCAGGAGTTGAGATCGAGTAGTCTACCTAAAATGTGGCTTTTAGAAAGCCAGATATTGTTTAACAGGAGGGCAGACAATATAATGTAGTCTCAATAACCAATAGTTTATGACCACTGAAAACCAATTATTCAGTGGATCTGGAAATTGGTACCCCACATACATTAGGTTACTGATTCTATACTCAGCCATTCCAAAAGAATGCGTAGATACATTATAAGACGGGCAAAATGCAGTTTTTATTCAGAAAATTCAAAAAACGACTTTAAAACGCCATATATTAGTTTGAGTCAGCGTCAGAAGCCTTCTTTGTACCAGATACGATATCATCAATTCTCAGAAGCAGAATAGCAGTCTAAAGAAATAATAATGAAAACCCATCGAAATTGCGTCTTACCTCAATGGCAGTCTTGAATGTTTGAGACTTCACAGCAACCGGGTCCCAAATACTTAGTTCCTTCATATCCACCAGTTGACCAGTCTCCCCATTAATTCCCATAGTCCAATTCTTAATTGGATCAATGGCATGATATGCCCTTAACTCAGTCACCTGTTTCAGCACATTGGCACCACAGTTTTGAGCTAAAGTTCTTGGAATAACTTCCAGAGCATGTGATACAGCCAGATAAGCAACCTTTTGCACACCAGAAACAGCTGATTTGGCCTTTTGACTAAGTTCTTGTGCAAGTGCCATTTCAAGGGCACCACCACCAGGAACTAGTCTTGGGTCCATAAATGCACTACGAACAACAGACATAGCATCCTGAAGATTTCTTTCAATTTCATTTAGAACGTCCTTGCTAGCACCACGTAGAAGAATAGTGCAAGCCTTCGGTTCCTTACAACCAGTGATAAAAGTGAAATATTCATCACCAATAAGCTTAATTTCAAAAAGACCAGCGCCTGTTCCAATATCCTCTTCCTTAATCTCTTCAGTGCGACTAACTATAGTTGCACCGGTGCAGCGACCAATACGAAGGCAATCAGTTTTACGAAGACGACGAATGACAGAAATTCCAGCCTTGACAAGAAAATGCTGAGCAAGATCACTGACGCCCTTTTCAGTGATAACAACATCGGGTTTGTGACGAATAATATCCTCGCACATTTTGTTAATGCATTCTTCCTCGATTTCGAGCGCACGACTAGAGCATAGAAAATGAATTAGCAAGCAGAATATACAACATACGTGAAGTCCTTTTCACCAGAGATTTCCATTGCTGTTTGGCTTTCGCCCTTTTTGTACTCTAAACTGCAATCAAGCAACAAAATGCGTGGACTTTCAATACGACGACGCATCTTAGGGTGCAAGATATCCTTATTAAACATTACACCATCGAGAACACATGAATCTTCAATAGATCCACCAGGAATCTAAATATCAAATAATATAAATAAGCAGCAATGTACCTTTTCAACTTTGGCATAGCGTTTAATGTCAATTTCTTTCCTCTTCCCGTTTACAATAGTTACGCATTTCACGGAGTTAATAGCCAGTTTACAGGCCAAATCAACCCTAATACAATGAAATAATGAAAGATGACTTGCCATTTATTAATAATCTTTGTCCCAACGCAGCTTTTGACGAGATTTACCATGGCTTCATGGCTGTTCACATCGATAGGAATATTAAACTTGGTGTCAATAGCAGTATTGATATCTTCCAGTGCTTGACGGAATGCAGCGATGATTTTCGTTGGATGGATTTGCTTTTCCAAGCAGGGAGCAGCCGCAGATAACACTTCGCCAGCTAAAAATAAAATAAAGAAAATGTAACCCACCTAAGACTATGACAGAAGTAGTACCATCGCCAACTTCCTCATCTTGGGTTCTAGCAATTTCAATCATTGATTTTGCGGCTGGGTGTTCGACAGTGATTTCACGTAGAATAGCATTGCCATCATTTGTCATAACGATACTACCCATTGGGTCCAAAAGCATCTTCAGCATCGCACGAGGACCCAAGCAGGTTCGTATTACGTCTGCTACAGCCCTCCCTGCTTCAATATTCCCAAATTGAACAGTCTTGCCATGTTCACGTTTAGTGTTTTGGTCTAAAAAATATCACCATAGAATGATATCTTACTAAGAATAAGAACGGGTGCGCCTCTCATGCTTGGTCAGTAAAAAGATTATTGGCGTTATCGGTCCTTAAAGGTGATTGGCTAATAAGGGTAGTGGTTGTTAAGGTATCAATATCTTCAAGATTATTATCAGAATTAGCTTTTATTTATTTAGTTGAGTATGTATTTTTAAAATTATTAATTTTTATCTTATCAAAACAGTATTTATTAAAACTTATTGTATCAATTTTAAATAATCCGTTAATCCTCTGCATTGACGCAAGAAACAGCGTCAGTGTGGCCCATTTGATCAAAATTTCAATGGCTGATCTTTTTATGATGAGTATGTTTTACATAGTTTCCTTTTATTTTACTTAGTGATTCAATAATGTTCAATTTAACAGCAGCATCCTAAATTACCACCTCGCCTATCAACCACCGAATACCCTCAGACTTTATTAGTGACCTTGAATAATAAAAATAAGTTCTTAAATATTGAAATATTTATTGATTCATTTTCGTCTAAAAACAAGTTTTCGAATTTATATGACAGCTTACGCCAACCACAGTGGCATAGTTATACAAGTAATTTATCACTTTTTAGTGACAATCAGTAAAACGTTTGCTGAAGTCCTTTCATCATAAGAATGCCTTTATAACTTTGCCTAGAACTTTTATAAATATTGCATTTATGGAATCCTTTAGACGACATATAAATTTTCCTACTTGTTATCATGAATTATTTAACTTGCTTTTGTACTAGAACATTCTTCTTCAAAATTCTTGCTTCCTCTTCGATTTTCTCAAGCATATTCTCATTCAAGCAATTATTTCCTAAAAAAATATATAGCGATTACAAGTAGATAGCTTTGATTTTTAGATGTAATTCCGAAGCTTCCATCTGTAATGCTCCTTTAGTAGACTTAAAAATCAACAACACTTTTAATTCGTTCGGTCTTTATTGCCAAGTACGACTATTTCGCTAAACGAGGGAAAAGTAGCTTTAAGAACTGATGATGTACCTATTCGAAAATAATAAATGTGCTATCTCTCACTCTATTTTGAACTTTAAATAAAAGGCAGTCTTATGGTCATTTATTCCACATAGCTGTCATTATAGTTTGCTTATCGATTTGCGCTAACTTTACACCTCCCACACTACATAGTGCTAGTACTTATTCCCATACTCTTTTACATTAGATTGGCTTCCTCAGTCAAGCACATGTATGATCTGATCCATACGACTTCCGCCGCCGCCTCTCCATATTTACTTACCTCCAAAGTTCTGTTACCAACGCAGTCCCATTTTTATATTACCATTACTAAGTTCGAAAAGAACTACGAATAATCTATTTAGCGGTCCTAATCCACTTAAGAAGGCGTTTTACCTAACTTTTGTCCTCAGTAGAGGATTAGCATCTCGATGTCACATTTTTAAGAAACCCGAATTCTGTCACCTTTATTGTTAGTCAGATTTACCATGCGCGGTTGGTCATTCCGTTCAATGAGTTGGCATAGAACCCATGAACCCTAACATAATAAATGAGGATGCCAAATATAGCCTGTTTTTCCGTCTCACATTTGATTCTCCATACACTGCAACACATCCGCTATGGATTAACGGCAGGTATACCGTGGCACAATCACTACAGTTCTGTTGATACCCTTAACACGTATAAGCTTCACTGAATTTGCTATATAATAGGAGAAAATGTACATACATTGTACACAACTGAATTTTTTATCAATCATTTCCTCAGCACGCTTATCAAGCTGTCCTTGCTGTCAGAGATTTCATATTTTCACTTTGTATTTGCCAAAAGTTCTATCACGAATATATCTCCAATACAAACACCTTTGCTATCTTGCTTGGAGTGAAGTTCGAAGGGATTAGAAAGGCATTAGCTTAACAAATTTCTCTAATCCTCGATTGACTTCTAATTTCTGGGTAATAATGTCCTTTCAAAGATTTAATAGCATTTACAAGATATTTCCAATTTTATAAAAAAAACTTATATTGATCGAATTCGGGTGACAGCAAATTAGGGTGGCTGTAGTTTGAGGTCTTTAGGCATAGATACTCGAAGTTTGTCAGGTGCCAAGTCGGCAGGTGTCTTGCCCTCCTAGAACATGCAGAAAAAGCAAATTAAGACCATAATTAACGACAAACTAAGAGCTTTCACCAATACAAAGAGAATAAATTTTATAAATACTTTTACCAATTTTGTTGCTTGAAAAGAGCAATCGGTGGGTTTCAAGTCCAAAAGTTATGACCTTTCCATGTAAGATTGTTAATGATTTGCAAAGATAAAAGCCATGGAATCGAAGTTTTCCAAACAAACGGATCGTTCCAATGATATAGTAGTAAATTTGCAAAACTAGAATGGTATCTAATTAGCTATAGATGGATAGCTTCTTTTAAAATAGCAATAGTACTCAGCGCCAATAGAGCAGTAAAAATGCCACTCATAAAATGAATGCCTGAAGATAAGTTTCAAAAGATAGATACAAATTTGTAAAACAGTATCCAGCTATTAGAAATTATGCTGTTAGAAAACAGCATACCCATCAACTTTATTGAAGCCCCACACGACTAACACAAAATGATTAATACACAAAGTAAGCACAGTTTTTAGAACTCGATGAAATGTGAAAATGCGAAATTATGTAAAGCAATGACTACTATTTAGTACGTTGCAGCAAAATGGCTAATTTTAAGAAAAGTGGACAACAAATTGGTAAGTTGATTTATTGATTAATTTTTAGCAAGCAACAACAGCCTGAAACGAATTACATTCACATAGATTTCAAAGACATTTAGAAAAGCAGTTTCCGAATTTACTCCGGAAAGAAAGATGACATCATGAAGACTCAATGGTAAGAAACTAAAATTCCGCCACCTTCAAAGTTAGTAAAATTTAAATTATGCGGTTGGAAACTAAGTTCAACGAGTACTAAACCATGAACTTCGACTTCGTGGTATCAGTCCTTAAAAGGCAACTACAAACTACACTTTTGATGCAACAAAGGTCAAGTATAACTTAAAAAGAGAGGGGTTTGATAGCAAACCGAACACCCTACCCAAAAAACAACAGAAAAATAGGTAAAAGCTTATTGATCAAAAGGCATACGTGGAATTCACTTCATACAATTACTATTGAACAAAACCGCTTACTTACTTTGTCTTTTACAGATAAATCTCCACCAGCAGCGAGTAGAATTCGAACAATTTCACCAGATCCTTCTTCACAGGCATTATGTCTAAATCAAACAGACACTAAGGGTGGATAGGAAAAGGGGATACTATAGATATTAAGGCAGTCAGCTTACAGAGGCGTTTGCCCGGCATCATTAGGAGTGTTGGGAGAGCATTTATCGATTTTCCCATTACTGGGCGCACCCTCAAGTGCATCTCCAGCCAAGAGCATTTTGCACATCTCTGAATGACCCTTTGTTACAGCTCTATGAAGAGGAGTGTTGCCACCCCAATCTCGAAGATCTGCTTGAATTCCCGCAAGGAGTAGTTGTCTAGCTATCTAAGATTAGAGAAAATAACAGATGAAGGTAACAATGGTCCAAGGTTAAAGTACTAAGTAAAGTATGGGGAATAGATATGGAAATCGATGAAGCCGTGGCCAACACCCAGATCTACCAAGTAGAGGTCATGGTATAAAAGAGTATAAGCGTGCATTCGGTAAAGTGAAAAATGAAAGGCAAAGGAAAACGATACCGGGGTTGTGATAAATTTAAGTTATTGTGGAACGAAAAGGGAATCGGCAATTTGATTTTGTTAATATTACGAAATAAAAGCCTATTGAACAAAAATTAAAATATTCAGAGGTATCCCATTTAGACCGATAATATAAGCATATTTCAAAGGCGGTTGTTAGAAAAGAGATTTCCTCCATTCGTAACGAAGATACGGACCTATTTATACAGAATAGGAAAAATAAAAAAGACTGTAGTTAATAAAATTATTGAAATGTTTAGTTTGATCTAATGGACTAAAGTTTAGGATAGGCAGACAGAGTACACACTAACACTTAAATTGTACAAACGGAAGAAGAAATTCAAAACATTAGGGTTATATTAACGAAAGATATCTGAAAAATGTTAGAAGATAACACACATGATGCTTATTAGTCCTGATGAGAAGTGAAAAACTATACTCTTAAACTGATTACCAAAGCCTGACATTAAAATTGAAGATAATTTAGATAAATATGATGAAGCTATCCAAGCAATCAATATACAAATGGGTTTTTGGAAAATCGAGACTCACTGAAATACGATTTCGAGAAGCTGCATAATGTAGACAGTTTTGACCAGTTGAATTGACTGTATTGACGTTAACTGAAAGACCTGAATCTAGAAGATAAGTCACTATATTTTCATGACCGGCGGATGCTGCAATCATTAAGGGAGTCCATTCAGACTACGTGAAAATGCTAATTAACAGGATGTGCACAAAATAGATCAAGATTAGCAAACAATAATTTACTGAATCCGGCTCATCAGGACTACATCCTCCTTGAATGAGACGCTTTACCAAATCAACGTGACCTCCACAGACAGCCCAGTGCAAAATCGTTCGACCAGACTAAAACCATGATTTCATTATATATATTTTAGAACAAAGAGATAGAAAAGTAGTAAAAATCATATACGCACACTGTCTTTCAATGTTGTCAACTTTGGATTAGAATAAATGCGCTCAAATAACTCTTTAAATTTTCCATCATGAGCAAGATTGCAAACATCAAGATCGGACATTTAGAACTAGAAACAGGAATATTTTTAATGAAATCAGTTATGGTTAATATGGGAAAAAATTATAATAGAATCAAGGTATAGTAGTTAGTTAGCAGATACCATAGAGAAATTGAGAAATATCAAATACAAAAACGTAAAGATCACTAATTTTTCCTAGCAATATCGAAAATTGTGAAAAAACAAAACTAAATTGACCGGGAATTATAGAGGCTAAATCTACAGCAAGTAACGCAGTAATTGACCTAGAACGGTAACTGATAATAATCTGTTTTTTAGGTAGTTCTGTTTTTGACTTGTTATAAATGAAATAGTTTTAAATTTACTATTTTAATGACATGCGTAACAAAATTACGAATGAAATCGATAACTAATTGTCACCACGGTTCGCGCGAAACAAGTTTTGCAGACATTTAACCTTCAATGAGTTTCACTATTCAATAGGCATAACTAATAAATTGGCGTGTAAAAATATATTTAAGCTTTAATTTTGACATCGCAAATCAGATTCTAATCCATAATTAACATGGCCGAAAATTCTGGGACGGCGTGCTACTGATCCCGTAGCCATAAAATACGGCCATGCTACTGATCGCGTTAGGGAGTAAGTGCTGTTGTGTTTAGAGAGCTTTCTCAGCCAATTAGCAATCAATGGTCGCCGCAGGCTAAACCTGACCAAAGTTCCATTTTAATGACTGAGCTCTGTGTCGGTCACACAACCTCAATAAATTCCCTTTAAGCAATACTCTCTGTTGCATCAGTATTTTTGAGATATCTTAGGTAGTTTCAGGAGCAATATAGCATAAAGATTGCTTTGGTTTAGCCAAAACTTATTCGTGTAGTTACCGTTACCGTATGACACCAAGTTAAACGCTTTTCTTGCCAGATACATTATATTTACTGATATATCTATCCCTGATGAAACCTAGCAAATTGTTTTCTATTTTTATAGAAAGTAAAAAATACATTTTGATCTAATTAGAACCAAGAATAATGATTTGCATTTGTTAACTGCTTGCATAATTAATTTAAATGAATACATATCAAATCAAACTTCCAAACTGTACATATATCATAGGTATTGAGGGATTGCAAATTTGGGCACTTGACAGTAGAGATTAGTTGAAATCTTGAAAAGATTGTGTAAAGGACACCCCAATCTTCCCCCCCTCCCTTCAAATTCTGTCATGTTGAACTGAGGACAGCACGTTCTGTAATGCGATTCCGTGTAATTTGCCATATGTTCTGTTCTTCCCAGATAAAGAACTGGGCCCCAGATTTCACAAAATTAGCACAAATAATCCTGCAAAGAATATAATTCAAATCAACAAAACAACAAAGGTAATGCAGGATGCACTTCTCGTGCTTGATAGGCTGGTTGTCATTTTGTGCCATTTATAGCCGTACAGGAAATAGGTACTTTTGAATAAAAAGGCGACAAAGGAATTGGAATAAAAGGGAGGGAAATAAAAAACCTTAGAGGTCATAATTACTTCCCGAGAGAAGCATTACTTTCTACAATTAGCAATTTGTTGGACTGGAACTCAATTGTTGGAAGCCTAATCGTGCATTTTCATTACGCTCGATTATTTATTGGATTCCTACGCGTATTTCAGGGCATGTAAGACTACGTGGGGAAGAATGATCTTATGCCACCGATGGGAAGATTTAAGCGCAATTCAAAGATTAAGATCAATGAAGTTAACTTGCTCAATCACGTAAATTTGAAAATCAATGACCATTAAATTCACATGCAGAAGGTAAGGGCTCAGACGAGCCGATAATTAAAAGGTTACCATTAAGCCCCACATTAAACTCCCCCAATACCCCCCAGAAAGAGCAGTGGTTGGCGGATGAAAAGTAAATAAATTTATTAACTCGAATTAAGTGAAGAAGTGGGAGTCGGTCTACCGACAATCAGACTGAGTTTATCATGTCTCAGCAAGAAGTGCCAAATCAAATAATCCCCTTTGCATTCAATATTTGTTATTAGTTATTTTTTACCCATTTATATTAAAACAAACCAGAAGATTCTAGAACCTAATAAAAAATTGACGAAATAAACACAAAAGATAGCGCTCCAAATGATGAGAAATAAGGAAATTCATTTTAACCAAGGTTTTAGCGTTTCAAAAATTCAGATCATTGAAATATAATTGGATAGATAGGATGGCTACTATTACCCTTGTGAGCACTTCAATATTAAGGGGATTTCAATTTGGATTCACTGGCCTTGTAAATGAAGGAGCTTGGTAAAGTTACCAATTCATCAAATCAGGTGTAAGATTTACTACCAATCATATTATTTCATGCATGCTCTGTAGATAAGAGAAAAGAATATTTTACGTCAGGTTTGATTTAAGAATTTAGTTAAAAAGTATTCAAGCTGCATAATGAACAATTGAAGGCAGCCACTAAATTCTATGAACATCTCCCTTAAATGCATTAAAATCTGAAAGATGGCCACATTCTCTCCAACATGTAGTCTTCAAGCGATTGTTGCATTGAGGAATAATTGGGCAATGAAGCGATTGACTGCTAGTTAAACGGAAACATGTCAAGGCAAAAAGAAGGCCAAACGCTTAATGTCATGGGCTTAAGTAATGATTATACACCAGTGGCCTCTATATAAACTTTAAAAAGTTGGATCGAGAACTGTACACTGAGTGTAAATGCTGGTTGAGATCGGTCAGAACTCAGTCGCACTATTAATGCAACTCCTCAATGCATTGCATTTTTCCTTTTGGTCTTATCAACTCCATGCCGGAGTATTGCCGAGGTCAATGCGCTTGCCTGTGAAGTCCGCGATCATGTGTTCGAAGTCACTTGATGCATATCCAATGAGTGTAGTAGTCGACCTAATTGACTGAGTCTGAATAGTGAAAAGGTTGTTGGTTTCGAGATTGCCTCCTCAGATAGGCTCTATCCTAGTAGTGGCTCAAGTCACGTCAAAGATTAGATTTTGACAAGGGGCACATAGAGAAGTGCATACAAATTCTCCAAGGATAGAGAAGAGAATTGCAGACATGTGAGATTACGCAAAAAATTAAGTTTATTTCAACGATATTTTCTCAAGGATTACATAACTCTGTTTTATCGTAAATTTTAAAAGCCATAAATTGGACATAAAATTTTATGTTAACTCCTAAAGCCATTTTAAGAAAACTTGTCTCTTAAGCAATATTATGACATTCTCCTGGCAAATTTGTTAAGCAGGCTGTTACAGGGTAGCATATTCCATCATTCAACACTGGTAGATAGTGCATGAACTCATAGAGCGTTGTGATAAATTCGTACCAGATAATTTCGCTGGCATACATGTTGTTCGGCACAGCATTTCCTGAGAGGAGGTCACCGATTTTCTCCTTGTAGGTCTCAAGACTTCAGGATGACATAACTCTTTAGAAATGGACTTTTGGCCATTAAGTTGGATATTTTGGGCAAAAACTAACAGTTTAAAGTACTGGTATATTCATATACATGAAGAAGCATCTCCTTTTGTAACAATATACATTATTAACCTGTTTCAAAATTTTGCACATTTTCGTTTTCTTTGCTCATTTAAGTCTACTCAAATTAGATTTGTAAAAGAAATTAGCCATAACAATTTGAATATTAAAATGTATTGTGGGACTATAATTCTACCTAATAGCGAGTTTAGGCTCAAATTACTTTTAATATTAGCCCACAATTACATTAGGCTAACCATATAATCACCAACAAACATGTGAATAAACGAAGGTTTGATAAATTAGCCAGTGAGCAAAAATCTAGGATGCCATAAAGATAATATTGGCGAGGCATTAATCCCCCAGAATGTGCTCTTGCTATTATAAGTGGTTATCATTTTCAAGGTTATTTCGATGTTGGCCTATTTTCCTCATACAGATTAAGTCGTCATTAATTGCAATTTGTTAATATAAAAGTATAACTTTTAGTTTGCACATTACTTGAGCATTTAAGAGATCAGCCGTTGACTCTGTATCTAATTATAGAGTAACGAATTTGGTTTATGAATTTATGGCCGAATATAGAGCGAAATTCGTCACAGGGGGAACAGAAGATTGGAGATTTTAATGAATCCCTAAAAGTTTCTTGAGCCTCTCTGAGGGTGTACAAGAATTCTTTGATCAGCTATGTACTGTTGTGCACTGTAGAGAAATGCCCACGAGTAGCCTCGTTTTAGTTACATCTTGAAACACTGCGAATAAAGCACCATATACTGTTAGTTGACAACCTGAAATCCCCACAGTTCAAGTAAAGTTACGTCATAATTAGTGACAAAATTCAAAAACTATATTATTAAATATACTAATACTACTCTAATTGACCCTATAACTCATACAAGCTGTTCAGATGTCTGTTAAAATATGGTACAGAAATTAACTTTACTAAGCAAACAAAGGACCATAAGTTGTAGCGAATTGCTATACTAACAAGCCCTGACTTACACTTAGTAATCTCTATGCCAAGTTCTTCTAGTATGAAAAGGCTCCCAGAATGAGCTAAGTTAGCGTAAAGCAATGAAGGAAACAGACGATTGGTGTGGAATACGTTTATTGGGGGGGGGGGGTATGTTAAGGATGTATATCGGCCGTGTCTTGACCGTTGGATTGTGTACTTTTGTTCCTCGTTGACAAGGAGCTTACATATTATATGCATTTTTAATTATGATAATCACTCATTGACTTTGATCATTGATTGGTCGATAGGTCTCGGAAATTGTGACTTCATTTGCCCCTAGGCATGTTGCCATAGTTGTGTTCCCCACTAAGTCTATTATCTAGAAATTCAAGGGATTAATTCAGAGCAAAATTCTAAACTACTCATTTTCTCAAAGAAAGTTTTAGGACTAAATTTTTGCCGAAGAAAATACAAAAAGTTCAAGCCATAAAATTGACATGACGCCAGTGGCATGCTGAGTTTTAGAAAAATAAAAGTTGCGAGTTTCACCATCAACTTCCCTTCGCACATTAAAAAATATTTAGATTGCTCCGGTTAATTGAACTTGATAATGTTTAACATAATGGAGAAATTAGCATGCTCAGAGTATTTTTCACCAACATATATATATATATATACCAAATGGCAGGCTTTATGATATGTTTTAAAGATGTAAAAGAGACAGACATAAAGGTAGATGAAAGGTGAGGTGAGTACTATGGAAGTAGTCGAATATGACATACAGTGAGGTGATGGTAGTTTGAAGTGAGAAGTCAACTGCCAGTTAATAGACTTTTATGCCGCCTGAGTATACGTTGCCCAGGGTGCACCACGTGGTGGTAAGTCTATCGCGCACCCCCATATATATATTAAATATAAATTATAATATTAATCACAGTCAATTCTGATTGATACAGGATAAAAATAAAGCAGTTATAAGATTAATTCAAATCAAAATTTTTTATTTCTTTTTGTTTTGATATTATATTTGGCTGATATATTTTCGTGGTTACTTCCACCCACCCTCAAAAAGCCCATAAGTAAAATTCTTTCTTATTAAGAAAGTAACCCCAGTCAGATCGTTGAATGGCTATTTATTAAGTCAACTTGTTGAACTCAGAAGCTATCTTAGCTCGGCACAATTTACTATGATGTGCACTTTCCGGCCTTAAATGATGTTTCGTAAATCCTCCTTCTATTCTCTTGAAGTTTTGTCCAAGTCAAGTTAAGCATAGGTCTTACTGTTAGTTTGACTTGATTTGATCTGCTTTTAATCCAATATTTTTTTTCAAGAATAAACCTGCATTTTTTCCAATTGCGGAAACAATAAAGAAGAATTGGTAAGCGGTCTTGCATTGGTTAGTAGAGAAAGTCTCAATGAACTGAGGTGACATTTGATAGGAGAGCCTTTTAAGAAATTGCATGGTCACGCCTTAGGATGTTCTCCATTTAAGCTTAGAAAAAATTTCCCCTAATGTTTGCGTGGACTCAATTTTCCTGATGACTTATTATCAATTCTCCTGGTGAACCCAGATCCACCATGCACAAGCCTCGAGGACAATCTTTTCCAGAAAGTTGGTAAAAGTACCTATTCTATCAAAAATAGGTCAAATGAATTCCCGTCGAATATCTACCGAGTGAAATTGATAGATTCAGTGTGGTCATCCTTCTCAATATTAATTACCTAATAAACGGCCGCATTCAGAACGGTTCCATGAAATTTAAAATTGTAAGAAAACGATTAAACTCTCAACCAAAGAGAATACCAGACGTAAATACTGACATAACGTGACACACAGCCCAACCCTTGATGTTCAATGAAATTGAAAACCTTTGCATCTTTGTATTGTAGCGGATTAGCTACCTCAATAACCTTGACTATTCTCAGAAAGCTCTATAGCAGTTTCTTTCAACTCGAAAGTCCCAGGGAATTAGCTAAGCTAAGACAAGGTTATAAAGGAAACAGACGTGTAGCACGGAATACATTTATTCAGTACGTATATTGATAGTGAAGTGAGATTTTGGCACAGCGATAAGTTATCCGATATCTCACGCATAATTCGTGTGAACATTAATAGCTAAATACCTATGAGTAGTGTTCTGTAGCAGGATTTCTATTGGTGTGATGAAGTTTCCCATAGTATCAATCTCATTTCATTAAAACAAACTTTTGGTAAATAAACTAGTTATCCTTTGTGAATGTAGGTAATATATTTAAGGAATGTGTGGGACACTCCATCAATGACCAAATAGAAATCCTGCTATAGAATACTACTCAGAAATATTTAGCTATTAAAGTTCAAACGAATTATGCTAGACTTATCCTGATAACTAACCGCTTTGCCAAAATCAACACTTCGCTATTCCTGATCATGAGTAGCTCCATGCGTGTACACTTGATCCTGATATACGTACTGAATAAACGTATTCCGTGCTACACGTCTGCTTCCCACTTGATCCGCAAGATACGTCCTGAATAAACGTGCTCCGTGCACACTTTTCTGATCATTACGTGACTGAATATACGTGTTCCGAATTATCGTCTGTTTCCTTTATAGCTGGGCTATAGCTTAGCTAGTTTCGGTCTGTTTCCTTTATAGCTGGGCTATAGCTTAGCTGGTTCGTAATATGCTCACTGAATAGACGTGCTCCGTGCTACACGTCTGATACCCGTACTGAAAAAACGTGCTCCGTGCTACACGTCTGAATCCGTACTGAATAAGCGTGCTCCGTGCTACACGTCTGTTTTCCCGTATCGAATAAACGTATTCCTTGCTACACGTCTGTTTTCCGCTACTGAATAAATGTTCCGTGCTACACGTCTGTATCCTCTGTAGAATAAACGTGCTCCGTGCTAAACATCTGTTTCCTTTATATGCAATATACGTACCGAATAAACGCATTTCGTGCTACACGTCAGTTTCCCTTATAGCTGGACTATAGCTTAGCTTGTTCTCTAGCTAGAGGTTGGAGAATCTGCCATAGAGATTTCTGATTCCTAGCTAGATGTTGGAGAATCTGCCATAGAAATTTCTGAGCCGGTAGCTAGATGTTTGAGAATCTGCCATGGAGATTTCTGAGTCGGTCTAGCTAGATGTTGGAGAAGTGAGTCGGTCAGGCTTTACTAGCGTAGCAATCCGCTACAAATGCAACGTGTAATGATTGTGTACTAATTGCCATAAACTAAGAAACAGTAATTGTAATCTCTTTTCAAAATACAATTTGATTTTAAAACCAACTCATATAGTGAGTATTTCTCAAAATGTTTAATTTTTATGTGGATACTAAACATAAGTAAGTACCACTTAATACACATCATTTGAAAGTATTGACTCAAGAAGTAAGAGATATAGTGATATACAGAACAGAGTGTAGATACTGCATAGATTATGATTAATGCGGACAAGTTTATCGTGAAACAATATCTTGGGAAAGGAGCTTACTCCTTGGTGTTCCAAGTTCAAAGCACCGAAGGAATAGATGAAGGGAAGCAGTATGCGTTGAAAAGAGTTCTCCTACATGATCCTTTCTCAATTCGAATTGCCATTCGAGAACGCAGAATTTTGGAGCGTATTGCAAATGAGAAGCCAGACAGTCAGCATCTACCCATTCTTTACTACAGTTTTATTCATGGTGGCTCTCCTATACTTATAATGGAACTCTTCTCCCAGTTCACATTGACTGATATCCTACATAATGCCTTCCTTTTAAATACTTCGGATGTTGTGCTGTACACAGCCGAATTAATCTCCGGATTGGAGCAAATACATTCGATGCATATAGTCCACCTCGACCTCAACGAACACAATATTCTTCTCTCGCAATCTGGCCACTTGATGATTTCCGATTTCGATCGTGCAATTGATCTTTCCGTCACTCGCAGTTTTGACTACCTTGACTTTAGTTCTAACGTTTACCGTGCAGCACCAGAAATTCGAAACAAAATTGCTATCACAACTAAGGCCGACATATGGGCTTTAGGGTGTATAGTATCAGCAATGGTTGGAAGATCAGTTACCACCAGTGAATCTTTAATTACTGCCAATAATTTAATTCGGTGGTGTCTTACTCCATCTTATGAAGACAGACCCAGTGCTGTGCAGCTAAAGGCACATAAATTTTTTCAACAGGTCAATTGGGGTTATATTGAAAGGCTACACTATCGCACTCCATTATTAGTTACTTCACTACCTTCAGTGCGACAGGAACCTATGGATCGACTTAGGCGTCATTTAAATTATAATTTCACAAATCGTAATCCACCCACTTTCTCATCGTCATGTTCGATACCTACCGCAAATGGAGATGAACAATTTTTGTATGAGTGCGCGTTTGGCCAGATTCTCACTCATATTAAATACAAACAATCAATATATCTATCTGATGATGGAACAGAAGTTCGGGGAAGATCTAACGATGCAAGAGCAGCATTAGCCCGTAGAGATGTGCGCGGAGAAATCAGGAACTTCATAAATTATAAATTCGTGAATATTGTCATGCAAGTTGGACAAACCCAAACCGAATAAGCGCATCCTTATCAAACAAACATTATACTTTAATTCCCATTTATTTATGTGGCTTTTAATTTATATTATGTATAGGTATATATATATATATATATATATATATATATATATTACATTCGTATTATATCTGATTTGTATAGATTTGCTACACTAGTAAAGCCTTGACGGACTCAGAAATCTCTATGGCCGAATCATCCATATCTGGCTAGACTCCCAGAACTAGCTAAGCAATAGCCCAGCTATAGAGGAAACAGACGTTTCGCA